TGAAATGTCGCGGCCAGAGATGGACTAAACACTATCTGAAGGCTGCAGATGGTTCTGGTTGCTCTTCTCTAAGAAACCTCGCAAAAGCAGTTTTGCCCAAGTGCATTTCACAGTCAGTTCTGTCTGGGAGATTTGACTAGAATTAAGCCCCCTATGCAGCTCATTTAGGAGTCCTTGGATCTTTATGGGGGAAGAAGTTATTGTTTCATTAGGTATCCCCACCCCAGCCCGTTCCTACCTGCTGGACTTGATCTTTCCTTTTCCTAAATAGATCTGCAACCTCTGTCAGCCAGGTACAATATGAAACAATTGCACCCCATTGCAGACAGAGAGAAAGGGCATTTTAGGATACCACGGAGCTCTCTTAATGGCAAGCTTGATAAAAACAGTTTGATTTTGCATCTTCGCTGCAACTACAGGTTCAGAAGAGTCGCTTCATTTTGCTATCGAGCCTAAATCAGTTTTGCCCCCCTTTTCCCCTCGCCTCCCCCTTCTTCGTCCCCGCACACACTTTAAGAAAAGATTTAGGTGGCAGGCGGGCGTTATGTTGCTGCTGGGAATTCTTTCTCTCCATGTTACGATCAAGACTTTGGCCTGGCCGAAATCTTGAGTGATTCGTTTAATTTTTTTTTTTCTTTTGGTTGTTGTCAAGACTTATTGACTGGGCACCCGAAGAGAAATAGTTTGAAAAACGCCGTCCCATTACCACCCCCCTAGTCCAGAACAAGGGAGGGGTTTTAATAAAGAACTAAACCGAGAAATGACTTGCAAAGGAACCTGGAGTGTTTGATGGCTAAGGGTGGCTTTTGTTTGGAGGAAGTCTCCCTTTAGTGATCCGGCTTCGCGGGGGCAAGTTGTGTTGCCTTGAAATAAATAAATAAATAAATAAATGCAAGTTGCAGCTGGAGGAACACGGGAGACCACGATCTCCATGAGCCACAGCCGGCAGCGGTTGGATCCTGCCGGGCCCTGAACGCACCCCCGCAGGCAGGGCTCGCAGCTCCGCAAACAGGGGCATGAGAAACAGGGAAAAACTGGCATTGCCTCGCCTTGGAAAGTAATCTGCCAGCCCCTGGGGAGTGTGATGCAGTTCATTCAGCACCCTCTCCCGCCGGGCTAGCCGGATCGGGCGGTGCCTTGCTGGGTGGCAAGGGTTAAAAGCTGGTCTTTATTTAGACTAGAGGTATATACTCTCTGTATTAGGCATCACATAGATAGACATAGAGACACCCACACGCATATACATATGAATGATGATATATATGTGCGTATATACATGTGTGTCTGTATGCGTGTGTATAGATACATATGTGTTTATATGTGTGTGTATATATATGTGTGTATAGGTTGTAGCCGTGTTGGTCTAAGGATAAAAGTCTAAGGTCTTTGGGTCAAACAACCTTGTCTGTCTCTGTGTGTGTGTGTATGTGTGCGTATACATATATCTCGTGTGTGTAGTGGTATGTGTAATCGTGTGTGTATGTGTGTGTACACATTTTGCTCCCGATAAGAGAGGGGAAGGGGCCATTGCCCTGTGCGTGTGTCCGCCGGCACTGGCGCTGCAGGAGAACGTGTGCCCGGGCTGGCACGGGTGGGGTGCGGTGTGTGTGAGGGGGGGTGGCACTCCCTGCAGATCGAAGCTCCCTGCTGATCGATTATTTGATAATTGATTTTCCCCTCCACCAATGGGCGGGAGGCTTGGGAAGCCCGGCCCCTGATTGGCCCGCCGCTCCTCCACTGCTGCCTACTGCGATTTGGGCGAGCTCATTTGCCACTGGAGTGCGGGGGGGGAGGTTTTTTTCCGAGGGACTTGGAGCCTGTGGGAGAGAGAGAACTGGGAGGAAAAAAAAACCAAAAAAAAAAAAAAAAAAAAAAGCAAGCAGAGCCCAGCCCAGCCCGGGCTCCCGGCGGCGGGGGCTGAGCGCTGGTGCAGGGGCAGGGGTGGGCAAGGGGTACCACAGGCTGCTCAGCAGGGCAGGGGTTGCAGCACGGGGGTGCAGAGCAGGGGCTGGAGGGAGTCCTCAGTGCGGCTGGGACCTGGGGGAGAGACTGCGGG